AGTGAAGACCACAGTGGTGCCTGTGGTCATCGTGGTCATCGGGGCCCTCGGGGCAGTCACCCCCAAACTGGAGCAGTGGCTAAAACAGATCCCAGGAACAACATCAGACATCTCAGTCCAGAAATGTGCAGTTCTAGGCACAGCTAAGATACTGCGCAGAACCCTCAAGCTCCCAGGCCTCTGGTAGAGGACCCGAGCTCAGAGGATGGAAGAGACCACCCACGGAGGATGAGAAGGGAATTTTTAAAAATTATTTTTCATATATATAGTACAAAATTAAGACACAGATGCTAAATCACTCTGGGTTAAAAGCCAAAGGAAAGAAATGTGTTTTTAAATGGGTTTTAAATACAAAAGGAGTTTGGACCTCCCTGACCTCCAGCAGCAGGTCATTCCATAATTTAGGATAAATCAAATTAAATATAATATATTAAAGTTTGAAAGTTACACAAATCATAAGTATGCAAAAGTAATAAGATTGCAAATAACAGTAAAATTTTCTGATTCAGCATTCAGAAAGTGAGGAAATCATTACAGATTTAATGGAAAAGGGGAAGCTTGTAAAATAATGACCATAATATTTAAAGTCTTTGTGCGTGACGTCATCAAATTCTGCTTCAGACAGAAGAAACGTGAACTGTTGGCAGGGACTGAAGACGCGCTGTGCGCATGCGTAAAACGCTTCTTTCACTCATGTCCACGCATTATTGTTATTATTATTGTTATTACTATTGTTATTGTTATGATGATGATGATGATGATGATGATGATGATGATGATGATGATGATGTAAAGTGATAATCATTGACAGAGGCATATTTGAAGCAGTCATGTGTGTTCTAACACGCTGTAAATAATCTGGGATTATTAGTGAGTCAGGCTCCTGGTGCAGTTCTGCCGCACTGGGTGTGTTTAGTGAAGCAGCCGTGAAGAAAAGCCGCTCAGGCCTGCGCCATCAGCCTCACCACGGAGGCCTGTGTGCGCGCGCGCGTGTGTGCGCGCGTGCAGAGAGGACCGTGGCACAGTGAGGGGTGACGCCTAAAGATGCTGGAGGGTGTAACCCAAGCCTGGGGAAGGAAAGGCTGCACTTTGTGTAGAGGTGTCCTCCCTCACAGCAGTGTGTGTTGTTTGTGCAGAGGTGCAGTGTGTGTTGTTGTCTGCAGAGGTGTGTAACAGATGAATGGAACAAACACACAAAGCTCCAGGTTGAGGGTGAAATGAGCTGAAAGTTGGTAAAAAGGCAGCTGAAGACTCACCGTGAGCCCAGTGCCCAACACGATGACATCATATTCCTCATCCATGTCGTGTGAGCGCGTGTCCGTGTCTCCTGCGTGTGTTCGTGAAGGTGCAGTCCTCAGATCAGCTGTTCAACCAGGATCTTCAGCTTATTTCTCCAGCATCAGGCTGAAAGCAGCAGGCTGTCACCGGAGAGGATGACCAAAGATGGCCCTGACCGTGGAGCACCTTAAAGAGATGTCACTGCGCGTCGGAAAATAGTCCGCATCCTGTTTTCCCTGCCCAGCTCACAGCACAGTGGGGTCTGCAGAGAGAGGCTGTGTCAGAAAAACACACACTCTGACTACACTTTAAACACTACTTTACACACAATCCCTCCTCCCAGATTAGATTACAGGGTGGACAGTGGTGTTGTGTGTCTGAATGTGACCACAGTCTTTCCCCATCCTTCCTCTCCTGTTCAGAGGCGCAGCGGAGCGTGAGGAGGCAGGTGTATCCCTCCGCCGCCACAGCTGTGTGTGGATGGGAGCTACTTTCACTGACACACAACATGCAAACACAAAACTACTGTACGTTCTTGTGTCCTTGGTTTTTTAGTCTGTGTTTAACACTGGTTATGAAGTGACCTATAATATTAATAATATTATTATTTTTGTATCATTATAGTCCACGTGAGAGGAGCAGTGAAATGTCAGCACCATGGACAGCTGCCAGGAGGACCCTGACTCTTTAAATCACACAATTCATCACAAATTAAACGGCTCACATTTAGGACAGGATATTTTAAGTGTTATCTTTTAATAAAACACAATGTTTTAACATGTTTACAGCAGAAGTACAGTTTGTGTTTGGTGAGTCTGTTTATTTAATAAATGTTTTTATTCTCAGGTTCAGCTGCAGGAAAGAAGAAGAGAAAACAGGAAGCAGCTGTTTGCTCTGAGCAGCAGGCTGGATGAAAGAAAGCAGGAAGTGGTTTCCTCACAGCTGAGCGCGTGACTGTCAGCGGGTCCACAGTCACGTGACTGTCAGCGGGTCCACAGTCACGTGACCCGAACAGGAAGAGCCCAGGACAAAATGGCAGAGACGAGTGGCTTCGGTGGAGCGGGGTTTTTAACTTTTATTTTCTATTTCTGCTCCAGTTTGGGCTGTGGGAGCGGTACCGCCCAGGTCCCAGTGCTGCTGTGGTCCACTGACAGGTAATTTTACCTGTTAGCTTGTTGTTACTGAGTAAAACTAACTTCTGAAGATAAACCTGCCTCCATGCTAACGCTAACAGCTGTAGCTAGGTGCGTTTAAAGGAACTGGTTTATTCACAGGAAATATGAAACTACTGGTTGTTTGAACTGGTTTATTCACAGGAAATATGAAACTACTGGTTGTTTGAACTGGTTTATTCACAGGAAATATGAAACTACTGGTTGTTTGAACTGGTTTATTCACAGGAAATATGAAACTACTGGTTGTTTGAACTGGTTTATTCACAGGAAATATGAAACTACTGGTTGTTTGAACTGGTTTATTCACAGGAAATATGAAACTACTGGTTGTTTGAACTGGTTTATTCACAGGAAATATGAAACTACTGGTTGTTTGAACTGGTTTATTCACAGGAAATATGAAACTACTGGTTGTTTGAACTGGTTTATTCACAGGAAATATGAAACTACTGGTTGTTTGAACTGGTTTATTCACAGGAAATATGAAACTACTGGTTG